GAGCGGACGGCATGGCTCCATCTTCCAGGGGCGGATCGTACTTATTGCTCCACGGTGACCTGGGAGGATGGAAGGAGGAGGAATGCGGTTAGAGATCATTCGAGGTGATGACAATGGCGGGTCGCACTTCCTGCCCGGATTTTCGGTGATGTTTGGGGGAGAGGATTGTGATCTGCACGTCCCCAGCGATCCGTTTTGTCTCGGCACTCGGAGCACATTACGTAGCGGGGTGATGGGATGTGGGGGAGTGATGAGCTCACAATGAACGGATCGGATTTTTATTGCTCATATTAATGTGCGCTGCCAGCACCGAAAACAAGACTGCGACCCATAGCAACCGGACAGACCGCCACTTCCTGGAGACCCGCCGCAAGCTGGCGGACCCGGATCAGATAACTGCAAAGAGGTTCTAATATAAAGCAACAACATCTCTGCAGATATATCACACAGGAGTGACATCACCGCCCTCCAGATATATACTACAGGAGTGACATCACCGCCCTCCAGATATATACTACAGGAGTGACATCACCGCCCTCCAGATATATACTACAGGAGTGACATCACCGCCCTCTCACCACATACCTGTAGGAATCGCCATCTCTGTTGTAGTCGCACAGTAAATAGTCCTTCCCCACCACCTTGTCCCGAGCAATCTTTAGAGGCTGATCCACGGAGGACAGGAGGTCTTCACACAGATTGGGCACCTGAAGGAGAGAGGAGATCTCGGGGTCACAACATTCCTTTCCTCTCCCACAATGCACCGGGACAACAAGGGAAGCCAAGAGCCCCTCCGCTATAATCTATAGACGTCCCAATACCCCCGATCACCTCATCTATAATCTACAGACGTCCCAATACCCCCGATCACCTCATCTATAATCTATAGACGTCCCATACCCCCGATCACCTGATCCCGAACTTCCGGCCAGTCATTGTAGCTGCGGTGACACCTCCTGCTTCCTCCCCTCTACACATCGGTGACACCTCCTGCTTCCTCCCCTCTACACATCGGTGACACCTCCTGCTTCCTCCCCTCTACACATCGGTGACACCTCCTGCTTCCTCCCCTCTACACATCGGTGACACCTCCTGCTTCCTCCCCTCTACACATCGGTGACACCTCCTGCTTCCTCCCCTCTACACATCGGTGACACCTCCTGCTTCCTCCCCTCTACACATCGGTGACACCTCCTGCTTCCTCCCCTCTACACATCGGTGACACCTCCTGCTTCCTCCCCTCTACACATCGGTGACACCTCCTGCTTCCTCCCCTCTACACATCGGTGACACCTCCTGCTTCCTCCCCTCTACACATCGGTGACACCTCCTGCTTCCTCCCCTCTACACATCGGTGACACCTCCTGCTTCCTCCCCTCTACACATCGGTGACACCTCCTGCTTCCTCCCCTCTACACATCGGTGACACCTCCTGCTTCCTCCCCTCTACACATCGGTGACACCTCCTGCTTCCTCCCCTCTACACATCGGTGACACCTCCTGCTTCCTCCCCTCTACACATCGGTGACACCTCCTGCTTCCTCCCCTCTACACATCGGTGACACCTCCTGCTTCCTCCCCTCTACACATCGGTGACACCTCCTGCTTCCTCCCCTCTACACATCGGTGACACCTCCTGCTTCCTCCCCTCTACACATCGGTGACACCTCCTGCTTCCTCCCCTCTACACATCGGTGACACCTCCTGCTTCCTCCCCTCTACACATTGGTGACACCTCCTGCTTCCCCTCTACACATCGGTGACACCTCCTGCTTCCCCTCTACACATCGGTGACACCTCCTGCTTCCCCTCTACACATCGGTGACACCTCCTGCTTCCCCTCTACACATCACCCCACAGCAGCATGCACATGGTCATTTAAAGGGAACCTCTCACTGACAGCTCTAACCCCTGTGCTGCGACGTTACCCCCTTATACATACACTGGGCCCTGCAAGACTGAGGCCGCCACCATCAGAGCGCGGATACCGCCAGAGACGCCGCGAGACCTAGAAGGGAAGGAAAGCAGCCGAGTGTGCTGTGCTTCTGGTCAGGGTCAATGTCGGCCCAGGCGTGCTGCAGAAAGCTTGACGAGCGCTTCAGTGGGAGGCCAGTGCGGTCTGAATATTGCATATGGATACTCGGCTTGGCATTGGTCCACCATTCATCTGCCAGGTCACCCAGTACTTCCAGGTATGAGGGACCATGTGACCTTCCGCCTTTATTTCCCAGGATTCATTGCTTGGGCCCGGCCAGCAGAAAAGTTAGGACAGAACAGCGCGGGAGAAGTTCATCACCCTGGACCCTCCCGGCCCGACCTTCGCAGGGGAGCTCCTCGTGGGAATTGGGTTCCTCGAGTTTCCCAGGATCCGGGGAGAAGGACCAATGACGTCGGAGGTCCGAGAGGAACCTTTCTTGTACTTTATGATTTTATACACTTTTTTACTCTTGGGGGAGGGGCTATAAGCGGACCGTTCATCCGCAAGCAATGTCCGAGGTTCTGCCGCTCCAGTTCCGAGCATGTTAAATGACAGACGGGCCTCTGACTGAGGCGCTCATCGAGCTTTCTGCGACGCGCCGACGCAAGAAAGCGAAACCGCAGATGTGAGAGAACATCTCGTGAATCTCCGCCGGGAACAAATTAAACAAAAGAAAACCTGCCAAAGGGAATAACAAGCGGCGATTTGATGTTTGCCGGCGGAGGAGCGGCGCAGGGGGGCCGGCAGGTCTGGTGCAGCTACAAAAACAAGACATCAAAGGGGGGCCC